AAATAAATGGAGATATAATGCTCATTACCGCAGCTGTTGGAGTTGCAGTTAATGTAATGTAAGTTCTATTTAAAAAAAAATTTTACTAGGCTTCATTTTTTTTAATAGCAGTTTTAGGTTCACTGCAAAACTGAGCAGAAGGTACACAGATTTCCCACATGTCCCCTGCCCGACACGTGCAGAGGCCCTCCATTCACCACATCCCCCATCTGGTGGTATGGTTGTTCCAAGTGATGAACCTACATTGACGCGTCAGTATCACGCACAGAGTCCCTAGTTCACATACAGTCATTCTTGGTGTTAAACTCATCCTATAAGTTTTGACAAATTTATAACGACACTGTAGTGTCATATACTCTATATTGTTTTCACATTAATATTTCTAAGTTATGTGGACTTAGAGACTATTATATATGCATTCGGTAACATGCTATGATATTTTAGTATATTTTTAAGTTATGTAGTACATGAATTTTTCTTATGAATGTTAATAAAACACTATTGGAATTAGAAGTTCCTTGCTGGTTTACTCAGGTGTGCTGAAGTTTGATTAACTAGTAGCACAAAGTTTTTTTTAACTTTTATAATATTTTTATTTTAATGAGATTTTTTTATTTACAAAAACAGGCAGTGGTCCAAATATGGTCTAAAGACCGTGGTTTCCAATCCCAGCACTAGGGTCTTGTGTTTGTACTTAGAGTAAAATCAACAGCTCTTACCATAGCCTTTTTGGTAAGCTCCTGCGTACCTCTCAGCTCATCTCCTAGCACTCTTGCCACTTTATTCCAGCCACAATCACTGTCTTGCTCTTTTTAAGCATGTAGAGCATATTTTCATCTTAGGGCCTTTGCCCTGGTTTTCCTTCTGCCTAGAACACTCTTCCACCACCGCTTGCTTCCTGACTTCACTCAAGTCTCTGCTCAGACAGAATCTGCGAGAGGCCTCCTCTGACCATTTTCCCCATCACTGTCCATCCCCTTGCAATGCTTTACTTTTCTTCAAAGCATTCACACTGCCTGCCAGTACATTATGTATTTATTTGTTAATTCTCTGCCCTCTCTCTAGAACATACGTTCCACAGCGCTAGGGATATGTCTGTCTTACTCACTGTATTGACCCCAACACCTAGAACAGCACCTGATACATAACAGGTGCTCAAATATTTACACAATGACTGAGTCTCATGTTGCCTCTTTAGCGTCTGATTAGTGACACATATTTTTATCAATAATATTAGGAAGAATAATAATCTTTCCTTTTATTTTTAACAGAATGGGGTTTCTGTTGAACCAGTCTGGTCACCATCACACCCATTCCCACTCCCTGCCTTCAAATTCTCCTTCCACCAGTTCTGGATGTAGACGCAACCACGGGCAGGATAGCCTGGCGGTGAGAGCTGCCTTTGTACACGCCTTGGGGGATTTGGTGCAGAGCGTTGGTGTGCTAATAGCTGCATACATCATACGATTCAAGGTACTGTGATTGCTGATTTTTCTATTTTAAAATATATGTTTAATTTCAACAGTAAAACTAAAGGTAATTGTCTCGTATCAGTATACCGATACCAATGCCAGTCCTATTCATTTTGCATTATGCAAGCTCACCTGAGCCACTTGAACCATCTGTATTGCTCTTTTGTTAGCACTAAACACAGTAGTATCACCTCACGGGGTAACTTATCAGTTGGCTTTGGTGGTGCCTTCACTGAAGAACCCAATTTTAAGCCTTGTCACTGAACAGCTAGATACTGGATTGTGCACTGGAGTGGAAATGCAGAGATACGGGTTCTAGTCTTGGTCCTGCTGTTGATGCGTTGACCTTGAGCAAGTCTCTCAACTCTAAACTTGAGTTCCCTCCTCTTTAACATGAGAGGCTTAGACCACATAGATGGCTGGCTGGCTAAAACTCCTTCCTGCTCTGATATTCTGTGGTTCTGGGTGGAAGATTAAGAGAAAGCACAGAGGAAAACAATAGAACAAATGACTAAACTTTTGGAAATAGGTTTCACAAAGAAAGGCTTTTAAACAGTCTAGGAAAGAGTGAAGACATTTCTCAACTGCAGTTATCCAAGTTTTAGAGATATGCTCTAGTTCTGCTAAAGAACAGGGCACAGAGTATGCCTTGCTTAGCTTTACAGACCGGTTTTTGTCTGTCTGTATTTAATCACACAATTTTGATCTATCACCTTTCAGCCAGAATACAAGATTGCTGATCCCATCTGTACATACGTATTTTCATTACTTGTGGCTTTTACAACATTTCGCATCATATGGGACACAGTAGTTATAATACTAGAAGGTAAGATCTCACTAATATCCCCATTGTGGGTTATTAGTTCCCTAAATCAGATTGGGACTGGAGGGGATGCTCGAGGGTAGGAGCCATGTCTTTCCTTTCTTTTTACTGATACTTACTAGGCTGTAATAACACCACTTTACATGCAGAGAACATGTAAGCGTTGATGCACTCTTCCATCTGTTATCCATTTGATCCTTACAATAGCCAAGAAAAGTATGCATGAGGCAGACATTATTATCCCCATTTACCAATAAGAAAATTGAGGCTCAGAGGGGTAACATATCTTGATTAGGGTCATGCAGCTAATAAACTGTGGACCAGGACAAGTCTTTTGATTCTTAATGCAGTCATGTTTAGTAGTTTATTAAGTCTGTAATTCCCATTCAGCTTGCTACTCTGTTATATTTTCAACAACCCTGCCTTACTGATACTAAGTATAAGCATTTAACTATGAGTTCTCGATAGTAGGTTTATCATCATTGCATGTTCCTTTCTTTTTTTGTCTATCTTAGCTTTTTATTATATGAAGTATTCTGGGTTGATTGATAATCCTTTTTAGAGTGAATGAACATTTTAGAAGTACTTATTAACTTCTTATATGTATATCGTGCTATACATGTGCATGGTTTATCTTAAAGTATTATTGAAGTGTTAATTTAAATTGAGTTTGGTAAAGCCATGTGGTTTTTTCTTTTAATGTACTGTGTAACTTTTCTCTCAAAATAACCTTTACTTACAAATGATACATTCTAAATAGGTGTACCAAGCCATTTGAATGTAGACTATATCAAAGAAGCCTTGATGAAAATAGAAGATGTATATTCAGTGGAGAATTTAAATATCTGGTCTCTCACTTCAGGAAAACCTACTGCCATAGTACACATACAGCTAAGTATGTTGCTGAC